AATTTTCAAGGCTACTAGACTAATCAAAAATTAAATTGTTGATCAGTTTGAAAGAACACTTTTATATAAAAGTTGTGGATTCTAAATGAAGGGCGACACTGTGCTTGAGTTTGTCTTTTTCTTTCTTTTTTTATTTATTTGACAGGTAGAGATATAGATAGTGAGAGACAGAGACAGAGAGAAAGGTCTTCCTTACATTGGTTCACCCCCCAAATGGCCTCCATGGCTAGCACTGTGCCCATCCGAAGCCAGGAGCCAGATGCTTCTTCCTGGTCTCCCATGTGGGTGCAGGGGCCCAAGAACTTGGGCCATCCTCCACTGCCCTCCCAGGCCGCAGCAGAGAGCTGGATTGGAAGAGGAGCAACCGGGACTATAACCTGGCACCCATATGGGATGCCAGCACCACAGGTGGAGGATTAACCAAGTGAGCCATGGCACTGGCCCCTGTCTTTTTCTTTAAAAATGGACTGTCTAGATCTCTTTTCAATAAAAAGATACATGACTTTCTCTCATAAAATGAAATTTTATCTTAGAATACCTTAACCAATCTTTAATTTGTGGCATATCTTAGTCAACACAGAAACTGAAACTTTATGATAATTAGCTATTTCTTCAATAGCAATGCAAATAAAGTCTATTTTTTAAGTTTGTGACTGTTTTGATTTTGATGAGTAAAACGTCGTCTTCTTTGTTCTGTACCGTAAGTGCTCAAAGTTCTTAAAAAAAAAAAAATAAGAACAAACTGTAGAGAGTAGATGGCATCTATCCAGTATGACTGTTTCTGAATGCAAACTGGAAAGAATTGATTGCATTTATTAAATATCCTTTCTATCTATTGTCTTTCACAATGCACTTGACTCTGTCATACATTGATCCAACCTGATAATAAGCTTTATTAGGTCTTCCCTCTGAATTTTCAGGATACTATTGCTGAAAGTTTTTAGAAGAAAGGAAAGAATAACTTACTAGATTCTCAATTTAGGTTTCCCTAGTGATTGGATTGAGAAAGTGAACAATAACACTGATAAAATTTAACTCTATTAAGTTTAACTAGGCTATCTTTTATTCCTTTAGTTTTTCTTACAACTCTACATCTTAGAGTCATAAGGTAATTTAGATGTTTGGATGTTTTCTCTCCTAAAAATTTTCTCTAAAATTCTGTAACTTGAACAAATATGAGAACTCAAAGTGAACTCCAGTTTGAGGTTATATCACATTAATTTGAAGAAAGAAAAAACATGACAATAACCATAATACATGAAAAAATAGTTACTCATTACTTGCATTTCTGAAGGAATTTAACAATGATGTCCATTGAAAATTCATGGAGATACTTCCTTTGAAAACCCAAGGAAATGCCTTTTCTTTGGGTTCCAAGGCTAAGATCCCTCCACACATCCAAAGTTTCCTTGACTGTTTGGAATAAAATTAGTGCTATCATAAGTTCTAGAGTCTTTGTGTATCCATTTGTTTCAGACAAGTTAAAAATGTCATTCTGTGGTCTGAATCTATCACCCCACTGGTTGCCTTTATTTCTTGGTTGATGTGATGGCTAGTTTTATGTTGTTAACTCGATTGGATTTTCTATGATTTGGAAAGCACTGTTTTTGGTGTTTCTGTGAGGATGTTTCCAGCCGAGGTTAATGTATAAATCTGAGTGAACCAATTGGGAAGACCCAGCCTCACTGTGCACAGCACCAATCAACTGGCTGAGGATCATCTGGAGACTCTAAATACAGAAGCCAAATTGTCTCTTCCTTAAAGAGCTGTCCCATACTCAACTCCCTCTGCGGTTATCAATAGCTAGTCTTTGGACACCAGGACTTCAACCAGCAGCCCTCTTGCTGCTACTCCAGTTTTTGTCTTTGAACTGAAATCTAGCTCCTTAGATTTCCTGCTCCTGAGACTCTCAGATGTGGACTGAGCCATGCTCCTGTCATACCAGGGTCTCCAGCAAGCAGACAATCTGTGATGGAACTTCTCAGCTGCCACAGTCACATGAGCTAATTGCCCTAATAAATGTCCATTCCTATATCTACATACATATCTCACCAATTCTGACTCTCTAGAGAACTTTGACTAATATACTTGTTTTAGTTAGATGTTGTGTGTTGTGATGTGGGAATGAAGATTGGAAAGAAGCTTAGAGAGAGGGATGCTAAATTAATTCCATTTTTCCCTTCTGACACTCAGCTGAAGATTATCTCCAGAGAACACTGTCTCAGAGAAGACCCAAGTGTGGTGCACAGTCAGTCACCTGGAATGCTGGAAATCCTGGGGTACACCTCATCATCCACATACAGTTATTACTTTCCTCATATCAGTTACATTACATAGAGATATCTCATTTTCTTTTGTCCTGTTTTGGACCATTCAACCTTTAATGGATTATCAAAGCATGGAGAATCTAATGCTTTAAGAATCTGTCCTGTATAAATTTATAACTACAGAAACTTGAACAAATAAAACTGTCTTAAGATATTGAGTCTGGAATGGACACTCACCAAGTTCAGCACTACGTGGCACTAGCTTCAGCCCTACACATAATATTTTAGGAAAACAATAGAGTTCCTTCCATTTAGTGGGTAAGATGAACAACACTTAAAGACAGAAGGTGACTTTTCCAGGGTACACAGCAAGTAAGGGCAGACATGTTATTTGAACTGAGATGTTATCTCACTGTAGACCACAAACTGTTTTAAAATATTGCTAAGGCAAGTTGAATATCCCATATCTGAAATGCTTGGGACTAGAAGTGTTCTGGGTTTCAGATGTTGAAACATTTGCATATATATATATTTATGATATCTTGGAGATGATATCCAAAGACAAAATTTTTGGTTACATTTTATATACACCTAAAACAGAAGGCCTAGAGAAAAAAATTTATATAGTATTTTTAATGCGATTATGTTTTAACTGGAACTCATCGCATGAGGTCAGATTTCCTACTTGTAGCATCATGTCTGTGCTAAAAAATTAAGTTTCAGATTTTGGAGCAGTTTGTATTTTGGATTTTCAGACTAGGGATTCTCTTTAAAATTCAAGTATAAATTCCTTTTATGAGATTAACAAAGAGGGCATTTTAAAGTTAAATAATTAATTGCTCTTTAGTAAGATATGAACGAGTTTTGTTAAATGGAAAATAGTAAAATGTATTTAATCATAGAGTGTCTCTAAGAAGTACTTCTGCAAATGAGGTCATTGTACTGGATAGTCTCCATGGGTCCTAACAGTGTGAAGAGTGCATTGCTCTTATCTATCATGGTGTAGGAATTTAGGCTATTCCTTTTTTTGTGGGTACATGAAAGCCAATCTCTTATAAGTTATCTGGCTCACAAAAAATTCAATAAATAATCAGGCTTTCTTGAGCCTACATGTCCAATAGAACTGGCTCTTTAGCTTCATTCCCTAAACACCAATAATTCAGTGTGTTTCCTTTCTATGTGTTAGGGTTTATCTCTGAGCTTTGCCAAGTAGACAGGAAGGCTGTCCTTCCCCAGCAGGTGTGTGCATGCATACACAACTATTCACCTATCCATTCTCCCCACTTCAATTTAAGAGCTTTTGAAACAAAGTATCTTTATCACAGAAGGCATTAGAAGTCAGCACTATTGTATTCTCGCTTATGACAGAACAGACATCTTAAGAGTATGTACTCAGGTACTACAAGTTTAGAAAGAAAATATTTTCTTAGTACTTCTACATCAGCAACTGTTCCTAAATTGTATTTGATGAATAATTGTTGGAAATTTGTTGGCTCATGAGACCAAAAGTTTAAGTGAAAATAAAGTGCATGTTAACGAAACAAAGTAACCCACACACCCAGTAGCCTTTTGTTGAATACTTGCTGGGTGCCTAACACTACATCAGATGGTATAGGAAATACAGAAAAATATTAGATGCTGCCTGTACCACAAAGATTCTATAATATATTGGGAAATGAAAGCTATTACAAAAGTAATGAATGAGAGATATGAAAGATGCTGGATGTAGACAAGTTAAAAGAGGGTAGAGAGGTTGGTGGAGTGTGGAGAAAGAATTGTGAAAAGCAGGCTCTGCGCACGGAAGGGCAGTGGCTCCATGGTCTACGTGAGTGCCTGCAAGTGGTCAAGTAGCTGAAGAGAGAGGGTAAAGGGCAGTAATTGCTTTGGACTCGTGACACCACTACTCCAATGCCAACAACCAGTTTACAAAAAGAAGGCCAGGATATAACTGAAAGTAAATATTCCAAGAGGTCTGGCTGTAGAGATATCACTTTTAACACTCTTATTTTACAAGTCAAGAAACAAGGGGCAGACAGGTGTCAAGTGCCTTATGTAAGGCCATATGGTTGACTGGGACAGAAGTAGACTCAGAACTCAGGAACTCATTTTAGAGTGATTTTAAGTTAACTGTTTCCTCCACATATTATTGCCATTCACACATTTACTTTTTGATTTGCTCTTCTGAGCAGCACTTATCTCTTTTTAAAATTTATCTTGCCTGATCTACAGAGTAGAAAAGTCATAGTCAATTCTTCTTAGTCAGGCTGTTGATTAGGGGCTTGAATCAAGTACCCAAATTGAACTCAGACTTCACTAATTTGCTGAAGTCTGAAATCAGGAAACAAAAACAAAGAGAAACCCTAGTATTTGGTGACATCTGAATTATCATTTTGGTTGACTACTGGTGTGTCCCTTTGGCAATATTTCAGTAAATTGAGATTAAGCACCTTTTCTAAGAAGATTGCATGAAGATATAGAGATATGAAAGTCTGGAACTCTTTGGACATGTTGATGTACACTTACATATGAAAATATTTATAACTATTCATGTACAAGAGACAAACAGCCCTCTTGAAAGCAATATTGAACTCAAAAATAATTGGTAAAGTAAGTAAATATTGTACTTCCAATAATTATAACCCAGTAATAACTGTATCATAAGATTATACTAGATTTTATTTCACAAAGCAATTATATCATTTGTCCATTTTTTCTCCCTTTCTTTCTTTACAGGTTATAATTCATCATGTCCCAAGAGGTCAGTATTAACAGTTTTTGTGACAGAAAGCAAACAGGAATCAACAGATGCTAGGTTATTGAATGGTGCAAAGCATTTCTCACAAGGAATACCTCGGCTTTCATTTCTCCCTGAATGAAAATGAGTGGAGCCACTTCCAAAGCTGCGGTTTTACCAGTCATGCTCATAATGAGAGGAAAGAGGTGCAATCAGCTGCCAGACATGTGGAAGGATGTAGTAGGTGCTTCAGCACAACGAGAAAGAAGTGAATTTCAGTTGTTTTCAATTAAAAAATTGTGCAGCTGGAACTTTTCTCTCTTTTTGCATCTAAATGTCATTAATCCCTGATGCTACCTTTTTGGAAAATATCTATGACCTTTCTTACCCATTATGTCTGTCACTACCTTAATGTAAGGCTTTAATACCATATGCCTTCAGTTAGCACTAAGTTTGCTATTTTTGTCTCTTGACAATTGACGTGACTTTCTCTCTGTTTCTCTTTCTCCTTCACACACACTGAGTGAAATGACTTATTTTCTCAAAAAAATATTGCTTTCATTAGTTTCCTGCTCAGCAAACTATTGTACCAAGTGGAAGTCTTTTTATTCAGCTTTCCTCACCCTCCACTTTAACGTCCAGCACGATTTATTGTGTATCATGCTCTCTGCATTTGACGCAGGCTTCTAAGATCACCTTTGTGGTTTGGCTCGGGCTATTGGCACTGCCTGAAATGCAATTTCAACCCTCCACATCTACAGCAATCATAGAAACAGAGACTAAAGAATCCCTGTTTGCCTATCTATCATACAAGATCCTTTTCAAGCCCTAGGTGTTCCAAGAAATGTATCTTGACCAATCTAGCCCACATAAAATATATATTGACTTATTTTCTCAATTACTACTGAGCATTTGATCCCCTAATTTTCCATTAACATTTTTATGATTGCAATAAGTTGAACGTTCCTTGAGGGAGAGGCTATATCTTTTGTAATGTCTATTACAGTGCTGTAGGAAGGAAGGTTACTTATTAATTATTATCAAAGATCTCAAGCAAGAGTAAAATGTAATTGTATAATGTCATAGTTACATTCATAACCTAAGGCTGCATGAGAGTTGCATATTTGCAGTCTGGATCAAATGAATGAATAATCACAATTGAACAATCTAGTGGTCAGAGGCAAAATAAGGCCGATGCGGGAAAATGGGGCTCCTACTTATGAAGTAGCCCCAACTCCATCCTCTCAGTTGCCCCATGGTATTCCAGGTGAGATTCGGTTCAGAACTCCAACTTCGATTTATTTTTAAAAATGACTTGATGAAATGCAGAAAGGTATTTTGATAAGCCAGAAAATACCATAGTTATGGTTTGTGCAGGGCTAATTTATTCATATTTCACAAGCTAAATGTTAAGGCATACATCTAAGTGCCAAACTAATCAGCAATTATACGCACCTCATAAGCAAATCAACGTCTCACAACTACAGCCTTTACATTTCTTGGCTCCGGTCCTCAATGCAGGATCCACAAAAGTATCAACAGACTGCAGAATGCCCTGTGTTAAGCTGAGGGATTTTTCCTGAGCTAACTTGCTCTCTGCGTCCCAAAAGCATTGTGAATGTAGGCTGATTTGAGGAGTGCTGGTGGCTCTTCTCTATAGCAGGCCTTGCAGTTAATCTCTGACCCTATTAAGATCTATCTAAACTCCCCAGAGCTGTGCAGGGTGGGTTAGTTCCCTTCTAATTTCTGTGAAGATGTGCTTAGCTCTAAACAAATCCACAATTAGCTCAGTGCTTCAGCAAATTGGTAAGTTAGGGAAAAACATCTTTTATCATCCCATTTCAAGTTCTCAGCCATGATAACCTTTGTTTTCCTAAATTCGTCACCATCCCCATCCCTTCATGCAAACACTAGCTGCTACTCCTCACCACAAGGAGGTGCATACGATGTAGGCTAGTCCCATAGTCTCATTCCTTGGAATTTTTCCTAGCTGGAGCAGGTAAGGAAGAGATCGTCCTTTCTTCTGCCATAGAATGCAGAGAGAAGCAAAAGAGCTGATTGCAGTCTTGAGTCCAGTGTTGTGTGAGTAAAGCAGTACAAGGAGACCAAAGCTGGCGCATGCAGGGCGAGAGTGGGAAGATGGAAGGAAAGTTATGGCAGCATCAGTTCCCTAACCTCACCAAGTTCCCTATCCTCACCACACCAGTTTTTCCAAAGCCTGTGTGCCCAGCTCTTCTTTTGACTATGGGCTTTGCCTTTTTATCTTGATAAAAACTTCTCCTACATACCCATCTCTCCTCTAACCTATATATCTCTTGTAATCAGAGAAAACTGTTGAAAACTTCAGCCAGGGTCATGGAGGAACCTTTTAAGCAAACCTTTTATCAGGAAACAGGAAATTCTAAAGTTTTGCTATTAGCCTTCTCCATCTACCTGACTTGAAAATGTATACATCAACAGTGCTTCTTGAGAAAAAGAAATTCGGCTGAACAGACAGAGCTTTAATTAGACAATACAGCATGACCTGTTTTCAATGCATATATATTAAAAAGAAACCACAAAACTATGTTCATTAAGTGAAATATTATTTGAGTGGAATGAATATAGACACTGAATCTAATTATTGAGTCACTAAATAATATGAGGATACTGGCCAGCGTTGCAGCTCACTAGGCTAATCCTCCGCCTTGCGGCACTGGCACACCGGGTTCTAGTCCCGGTCGGGGCGCCGGATTCTGTCCCGGTTGCCCCTCTTCCAGGCCAGCCCTCTGCTGTGGCCAGGGAGTGCAGTGGAGGATGGCCCAAGTGCTTGGGCCCTGCACCCCATGGGAGACCAGGAGAAGCACCTGGCTCCTGCCATCGGATCAGCACGGTACGTCGGCCGCGGTGCGCCGGCCTCAGCGCGCCAGCCGTGGCGGCCATTGGAGGGTGAACCAACAGCAAAGGAAGACCTTTCTCTCTGTCGCTCCCCGTCTTCGTGGAGGAACGACACAGGACCCTGCGCTGTTCTTTCGTCTGCTCGGCCCTCCCCGGGTTTGCTGCTGGTTCTTCCCGGGTTGGCTACTGTCCCTTCCACCTCCGTGGAAGGGCAGTTCCCCCTGGCCACATTCCCCACTTCCGCAGGGGAGCGGCACACCGCCGGCCGGCTCTCTCGGGGGCTGCACAGGTGTTCCTTCAGCTAGATGTTCCCCTTAGATGTTCCTGGTGCATGCCGTCTCTCTCCTCCTTTATAGTCCTCCTCTGCCAATCCCAACTCGGCTGCCCACACGCCGAGTACGCTGCTCTCCACCAATCAGGAGCAAGTCCTACAGTTTATTGACTGAACTGGAGGCAGCTGGGTAGAAGCTGTTTTCTTCTCTCCCAGCGCCATATTGTGGGAGAGCAGATGCATAGAATAAGTCTTAATTCCAGTAACTTAGTCCAGTCCGGATTGCTCCCCACATCTCTCTGTCTCTCTCTCTCACTGTCCACTCTGCCTGTCAAAAAAAAAAAAATAATAATAATATGAGGATACTGTGGTTAACGTCAGCACTGTGAGGTAATAGGACAAATGAATCTCATCTTAATTGTGAGGCTTTCCTCTAAAAAAAGAAGTGGCATATTCTATATTATCAAATGTTATGAACAAAATATGAGGCTATGAATTGCTGAAATAAGGGAACTTTCCTTTGCTGTCATTCCAGCATGTAAACCACAGCTTGCATATGTAAAAATAAAGGCATCCATGGAAGATAATTATACATTAAGCTCATCAAGAATAATAGCTAGGATTTGAATAGTATTGACCAAATATCAGATATTATTTTAAATTGTCCACATATATAATTTAATTTTGTTCTCCTAATGATCTTATATATTATTATTATCTTCATGTTACAGATTAATAGACTGGGCACGGAGGTAGAGGAAGTTCAATTTGGTCAAAATTATGTAGCTACTAGCCAGTGCCGCGGCTCACTAGAGTAATTCTCCGCCTTGCGGCGCCGGCACACCGGGTTCTAGTCCTGGTCGGGGTGCCTGATTCTGTCCCGGTTGCCCCTCTTCCAGGCCAGCTCTCTGCTGCGGCCAGGGAGTGCAGTGGAGGATGGCCCAGGTGCTTGGTCCCTGCACCCCATGGGAGACCAGGAGAAGCATCTGACTCCTGCCTTTGGATCAGCGCGGTGCGCCGGCCGCAGCACCCCGGCCGCGGCGGCCATTGGAGGGTGAACCAATGGCAAAGGAAGACCTTTTTCTCTGTCTCTCTCTCTCACTGTCCACTCTGCCTGTCAAAAAAAAAAATTGTAGGTACTTCGAGGAGGTGGCAATATTCACATGCAGGGAGTTTAGCTGAAGAGCGCAGGCTCTTAGCTGCCATGAGAGTTTGCATTAAATTCTGGCTGTTTTGTGATGCAGTAGATCCTTTTGTTTGCTTACCGTCTCTGTTTACCTCATTTTTCTTTCCTACAAGTTCCTAGACTTAAAAAAATATTGATATAAAGGGAACAGATTTGATGCATTCCATAGGTACAGTTAAGGTTCTAGATTTTTTGTAGTGTGTGTAGTCTTTCACTTCATGGGAAGCTGAGCCTAGAGGAGTGGAATCTGATTGGAAAAATCCAGGTAACACACACTAAATTCCCTTCCCTAACTCTCAAGCCACATCCATCACATTCTTTTTTTTTTTTTTTTTTTTAAAGAAATTGTCATAGGAGACCAACACAAGGCAAATTGCAGCCTTGATGTAATTCTAGAGCAGACTCTGGCTCTCTTACTCACAAATGGATAGCGTGTAGTTATGAATTGCTGAAGCTACTTTGCTACCATTACGGAAGTTTCAGCATGAATCTGACAATGTGGAAGGCAGAGAAAACTGACCAGCCACCAAGTCCTTCATGACACTGAGACACTACAAAATGACTCAGGATATGACCTGCCATAACTTCCAGGATTATGAGTCAATGAATTACCTTTAGGTGTTAAAATTAATTTGGACATTCTAAATGCAGCTCAATTGATTTGTCTTTGACATACTTGAGGACTAAGAA